GAAAATCTGCCAGACATCAGGCTGCTCCCAAAGGAACCCCTCAAACACTTCCAGGCTGCGTTAAGGGGTGACATTGTGTGCCACAGATTGAGGTGCTTCCAATGAATATTTGGGCAATGCTACAAGGTTTTGAAAAGAGGAAACTCCATTTATACAGGCTGAAGGAATATAAATAACTTGGAGGATTTCTGCAATCCACAAAACCTGAAGGGCAAATTGGTGTATTCAAGCCACCATCACCCTCTGCCTTTCCCAAGCTGAGGGTTAACCCTGCTAACCAGAGAAAATACAAAACTTTCTCCATATCTATTCTCTACTTCATACTGGCAAAAATCAGACTTGCAAGGCTACCCTACAAAATGAAAACCTTTTTCTTTCTCCCCTTCAGCACCACTGCAATATATTCAATGAAGAATGGAATTTAGGAGGTTTGATGGTTCTTGCACTTACCTTGAGTCCACGAAAGCTGCCTGGGCTTGTTGGTGAAGAACTGGAGGACTTTGTAGATTTTGGGGTGGATAATTGACTGCTTGGGGTTCCATTAACTGGCCAAAGCAATAAAAGCAAACAAATGGAAGAAAAGGTGATAAAAGTCAAAAACCCTAACTTGATATTAATAACATAACATACCTCATTAACAAGTCATCACCCAGGTCTGCATACAAAGACCAAAACATAAGCATTTAGGAATAAATTACACACTTGCATGCCATAAAACTGTGCCCCAAAAAATTCCTGTGGCTGGATATGGGATCAAGATGAGACACAAATATTGCATTGTCATTCCAAAAATTAAAAAGGCCTATTCTGCCCTTTGTCAAGGGCAAGAGTTTTGGGAAAATAACAGCCACAGCCTTTAAAAATGACATAAATGATCGTCTAAAATTTGTAGAGAGAAAATGTTTCTAAAGACATTCATACATTTTAGATCAACACTTTACTTTCTAGGTGGAATGTTTCACAGAGCACAGGTTGTTTGCTTCTTCCCAAGAAAGACAAACAATGAATGTGAACTCTTTGGATGATAAAGAACTTTAGCGGTAAGATAGAAAAATATTGATTTAGGGAGAAAAAAAAAACCAAACACAAGGGAAAAGGTTATTTCTGAATAGCTATTTCTAATAGGTTATTTCTGAATTCCCAGAAAGTACAATGTCTGTGAAAACATGCAATATTCTCCCTCTTGACTTCAAGAGTTCATACATTCTAAATCCAGATTTTCAGATAGGCCTCATACAGCATCTGTTAAATCTCTGCTGACTTGAATATAACTTAGGTCAGTCCTTGCATTTTTCTGAGAAAAAACAAACTCATGACTTTGATTCTGCAGACAGAGCAGCACGCTGTCCATCACACACAAATATGAAGCAACTTTATATGATGAGATATTATTTCCTTTCTAGCTGAATCTCAGGGTTTTTTTCTGGCAGAGGAAAACACTAAGCAGAAATTTCAGAGCTAAAAATGTTTCAGAGCTGATTCATGCTGAAGAATTATTTGTTCTGAAAGGAAAATACCAACCCTGGTAAACAGAAACTTAGCTTCAAATTAAAAAACAGATACAGCTGCACATATCCTTTACATATTCAGGCTTGTCACAGGTTAGGGTATCACTTCTTAAACAGCACTATTGAATTGACCTAGGACCCTGACATTCTCTGAGTGTTGAAGATGCTTTCCAAGCAGGACTTCTGGATAAGAAGTTCACCATGAGCTGCAATGTGAGCTCAGCCCAGAAAGCCAATGGAATCCTGGGCTGCATCCACAGGAGGGTGGGCAGCAGGTTAAAAGAGGTGATTCTTCCTCACTGCTCTGCTCTGGTGAGACCCACCTGGAATACTGCACACAGTTCTGGTGCCCTCAATGTGAAAAGGACATGGAAGTGTTGGAGCAAGTCCAGAGGAGGCCACCAAGTTGCTAAGAGCACTGGAGCATCTCCCCTGTGAGGACAGGCTGAGGGAGTTGGGGCTGTTGAGCCTGGAGAAGAGAAGGTTGTGTGGAGACCTCAGAGCAACTTTTCAATATCTGAAGGGCCTACAAGGAGTCAGAGAGGGACTCTGTGTTAGGGACCGCAGTGATAGGACAAGGGGCAATGGATTCAAACTGAAGGAGTGAGGACGTGTCCCTGTTGGGCAGGAGGTTGGGACTGGATGATCTGTAAGGTCTATTCCAACCCTTAAATTCTATGATTCTATGATCTTAGCAATGTTTGGTGGACAAGAGTGGTGTTTTGAGTCAGGGTGTGATGACATCCAGAGGTACCTTCCAACTTTCATCCTTCTGTGACCCTACAACACACAGTACATTCTGCTGAGGATCCTATCAAGAAGAGCTGTCTGTAAATTCCTCTTTGGCAGTGTCTTCTGAGATCCACAGCACATGGGTTGGTGTACAACTGCAATAGCAGCAAGAGCTGGAATTGGTCCTTTGGAGATTGAAAATTTTGCATCTATAGGGAGTTGGCAAAATGCTTGTGCTGGTTTTGGCTGGGGTAGAGTGAATTTTCTTCACAGCAGCTAGCACAGGGCTACGTTTTGGATTTGTGCTGGCAAGAGC